TTAGTTGCTGGCTGGGGTTAAACCACAACATTCTCTCAACGTGTATTTTTTATGCCTGATCAAACATTATTATCAGCTTCTGTTGGCTTTGTTTCTACTTGCAGAGTAATTGCCTAGAAAGAGAGGGAGCTTAAGACAGCCTACCCTCTAAGGAAGAAGAGGGGAACTTCTCACACATACTATAAGGTGCAGGAAGTAGCAACAAATGAGCTTACATGTAGTGATAGAGACCAGCTGAATTAAGGCAGCATATTGTTGGTTTCTGTGTGCATGTCCAAGTCTTGAGAGGTGGTGGTCAACATGTGGGCTGTCATGGCTCCAAATTTGATAGCAGGGGTTATTCTGAAATATAGAGAGGTTTTCTTACCTACTTGGTGTGTGAGGAATTAGAAAATGTGAACAAGCCTCACTCATTTAAATAGCAAAAAAATCTGAAGTTAGGATAGCCTTTTATTTATAAATTATCAGTCCATCAACTGCAGGGATGTTCCTCTTGATCTACCACAGCAGAACTGAAAAGCTGCTCTCTTTTAATTAGGAGGAAGCACCTTTTAATCAGCCAGTACAGTTCTGACAGATGTGGTGCCTGAAGAGAGGCACTGAGAAGGAGGCCTGAATGAGTGACTGAAGCATGCTGCAATGCTGATGGTTTCAGAGCTCCTAAGAGGAAGGGTGTCTGTTATTGTTCAGGCACTGTTATTATGTGGCTTCCCAATAGAAAGGCTTAAATGTGTCTTCCATCTCTATTGCTCAGTGGCATTATAGCCAAAGTGCTCTGCCTTCAAAGTAAATTGTTTCAAGGCCAGGCAATGTTTGAACAAGTGCATGGGCACCATGTTACAAAGTTCACCCAAGGTGCTATTGGCTACATGAAATAAATACTTAATAAGCAGATTTGACTTGGAAATGTCATTGCAAACAAATTTAAGTGGGTATATTCTTCCACACCCTTTCCTGAATCACATCTCAGCTGCTCTCTTGCTGCTCTGCTAAGTGTGTTTTGTGGTACCAGGCACAGTGAGCACTTAATCATTTTACAAGCAGCCAAATACAAATTACTAAGCCAATTAACAAATACTTTCATTTAAAGGATTTCTGCTGCAGCTTGACTCTGTTCATATGCACACAGGCTAGAGCTCCCAGTTAAGACAGTAATTCAACCTCTACTCATGAGTGTAAATGGCACTACAGCACAGGTTTACATGCTGTGCCCCAACTTTGGGTGCAAGTTATTCTCCTAACTAGGGCATAAACTAATAGTCCAGGAGATCTTCTCCTGGTTGTGCTGCAGATATGTTCTGTGATGTTGGCTAAATTGCTCAATCTGTGCTTTGAATTTAAATGAGAGTGATGTATCTTTTTCTATCTTCTCTATAGATCCAGATGGCAAATTCTTTAAGCCTAGGTTTTATAGAGCAGGACAGTCTTTACAGAAGCTGACTCTGTATATCTGAGCTGGGGAATAATAACCTACAGCAATCAGAGATGACAGAGAGGATCTGCCCTCAGGTTGTTTGAATTGGCATTGGCTGGGAATCAATCTCCAGAGGATCCATCATCAACCCATTCTGTGTCTTACTGCAACAAAAACACAGCCTTGCCTGAAACTTCAGGGCATTACTGTTTAACATGGGCATTTTCAGAAAGGCACTGATGTTTATGAAAAATAAGGTTAGTTGTAATAATAATTAGTAGTTTGAGGCATAATGCATTTGTAGCAGAGTACTCAGAGGAGTGTAGTCACTTGCTCTGGAGATGGCTAAAATGCAGCCAAATTTGGGATAAAACAAAGCTTGGGTTTAATACTTTGAAGTTGTGTGACCTTTTAGGACAGCAATTAAGAAGGTTGTCCTATCCCTCCAAATTTGTGCACCAGCTTTTCTTACAGAAGCAGGAGGATATTAGAATATCCTGGCTGCACCAGGCAATTGCTCTTCTGGCCTAGTCCAGTGGGTTTAATTTAGGAGAGAAAGGAATTAACCAGCATTCACTTACAAGAGAAGATAGGAGGGAAAAAAAAAGACAGAAAAAAAGACCAAGAAGGTACCTCACACATTCATGTGGAGATCTCAGTGTTCTTATATACTGCTTAATCATACTCCTTCAGCTGCTCTAAATTATAGTTCAGCAAAGTATTAAACAGACATAACTTCAAACACAAGAAGAAAAAAAGGACACTAGTGGGGCAATTCTAGCTACACTAAACCATGCCTGTCATTCAGAGATCTTGCTCATTCTTGGACTGAAATTGCAGTTAAAATGCAATTCATAAAAATGGCACTGCCTGATTCAGCAGATGTTTTCCTTTGGCATTTTGCTCCTGGTACTGCTTTACAGAGCAAGTATAGTTAAAAGAGCATGTTATTAATTAAGGATTAGTCAGTTTTAGCTGGGCAGGTCAGCTGGAGTCAGGAGGTGTCTGATAGCCTGGTTTGCCTACAGATGTTTGTATTGCTGCTGGTAAGATGTGAGAAGGATCAAACAAACAAAAAGAAACTGCCAGTGCCTGTACAGACACCAGGTGAGGCAAGCTGATAAAAAACATGGGGAAGCCCTCCTTTCTGTAAGAAAGCCCCAAGGTCAGACTTAGAGAGCTAAGGTTAGTATAAAGCTTTTGGAAGATCATTGTGCTATTCACATTAGCACTGTGCTCCTGCCTGGTTCAGGTCTCAGCCACCCAAGTGGCTTTGTCCAGGTGCTGCACAGCAGTCACTGAGAGAACAGACTGGCTTTATTGAAATGGACACTATCCCTGTCTGCATCTGTTTTGGCTGAGTGGAATGAAAATTGTGTCCTTTGGATATGTCTCTTTCATTAAAGATATTTTGGTTGAATTTGCTCTGCAGTGCTTTCAGGGAAGAAAAAAAAAACCCCTAATATTAAAACTTATTACCTAGTCAAACTGTCCAGCTTTTTGCAAGCCTAGAACAAGAAGCTGAAATCTGCATTATAAGACTTCCAAAATCAATGCATTTAAATAGCATGCTTAACAACAGGAGAGAAACTTCAAGTCCCTAGTTATGAGAACTTTTTTTCCTGAGGGTATTGTGAGATTGGAGGCCTTTCCCAGCAGAAGGCTTATTCCATGATGTCTCATGTCCTGGAGTTGCTTTAATATTTTGGTGTGAGTAGGTATGTGGTGTTCCAAGGGAGCGGTCATGTCTGTCACTGGATGAGAATTTAGCTTCATTTTGAAATTTTAGCTGTGTGTAGCTTAGTCCTTCTGGTCTTCTGCATGCACCGTCATCTAAGTCTGATGCTGATGCTAAAGAGTTAACAATTTTTTTGGGGGAAAGTATGCAGCCCTTTGAGACAGAATAGGGTTTCTGACTGTACAAAAGAACTGCTGGATCTTCAGTGACAGAACTAGGAGGAAGGATGGAGATTTCCTTTGTCTCTGTGTCTGTATACTTCTCTGTGTACTTACAGGAGGTATGATAATCAATGATACATTTTCTTCAGATATTGCTATTGGGTCTCATTCTTCTCTGGGTAACCAGTCCCAGTACAGAATACAATGGTGCAAGTGAAGAGCAAGTCAGAGCTATATCAGCTGAAGATTTGGTATCAGGAGTTCAACTTCCCAAGCTCCCCATCATCCTTATCCCCATCCTTCTTTATTAACAGTCAGCAGTGTTTGAGAGCTTTTGATTTATTTATAGAACTGGGACAAGTACACAGGCAATTCTATGCTTATGACTTAGAGAGTACACAAGTGATACAAAACAGAAGAAGGAAAAATTGCTCAAGCCTTGTTGCGGCCATTGTGACCCAATATGAATCTCTCACTATCGAAATTTGAATTACTTTTTTTACCCTGGTCAGGGTGTGCTGCTGTACCACAGAAGGCTCTTCAGAAGAGTCCTTAGGACCTTCTTAGGTCCTTTTAGGACTTTTTCATCACTACAGGATCTTTCTTCTGGGGTAACTGACCTAGGACTTGCATTTTCACTAGGTGGGGGAATGTCTGTATACTGGCATTTCTAGAGCAGATGAACCTATATCATCAAAGCTGCATTTTCTACCATTTAAACAGAGCCACTTCCAGAAGTATGGTTCAATTTACCTTGTGTGATATAAATGTGTGTTCTCTGGAAGATTGTGGTGTCAGTGATGCTGGAAAAGGATTACAGCTCTTTAGACCTTGTGACAGATGGTATGCAAAAATATGAGGTTAGATGTGGCCAAAAGCCTCAAGCACACAATCCAGTCCGTATGGCTTAATATGTCAGCTGATTCCTGGTAACTGCATTGTCTTAGCACGCAAAAATGTGAGCTAAATCCTGTTAACTAAGCCTTATCTACAGATGTTTATGCAAATATGTGTTGCTTCCTATTTGTGATGGGATATGAACAATCAGAAGGGTGACAGGAGCTCAGCTGATATGTGGTATCTCATGCTACAGTGACTTCTGTCAGGAATTCCCTTGCTTTGCCTGTGAAGAGACAATGACAGGAGGACTGGGAATATCTGCAGTCACTGCCTTGATTTCCCTGCTGATTTGCTGTGCAGAGAGATTCCACTGAGAAGTATCTGCTCTCTTCTCTTCCACAAAGTCCTGAATGGGAATTCCCACAAGAACAGGCTTGGGGGGGAGCATAGTAGGAAGTCAGCTCTGCTCCAGCTGGCTTCTGTCCAATCCCAGTTTTCTCAGAATTCAGTGAAAAACATGACTGCAGCCCATACGGACCTCAACGAAAGCCTGCTGAGAGTTTGCAAATGGCCCTTTGTGGCTGAGATTTCATTGTGGTTCTTCAGTATGGATTCTGGAATATTTAATGCTAGGACCTGCTCAGAACTTTATTACCAGGTTCACTAAGATACTGATGAACAAGTGAGTGAACAGGCATATAACTGCTTTTGTATTCTGTGGAGAGGAGTCCGGGAAAACCTTTTGTTTGTAGACATGAATGGCCAAAAACTATTACTTGCTTTAATAACTTTTCCCTTCCTTCCTTGGTAGCCTAATAGTTTGTAATTTTTCTGCTTGTTCATGCAGGAACTACCTCTTCAGACTTAGTCTACACAACGTTTCTCTTATTCAGGTATGTTCACTTTTTACTCTCTTATTTTATTTGACTTGTTAATGAAAGTTCTGTAATATTTGATGTACATTTTCAGAAGCCTATATAGTGTAAATTTGTCCAAAGTGTTGGAGCAGGGAGAAGACAGAGTCAGAACCAAATGCTTATTCCCACTCCAGTGATAATGCTGGGGGAAGGGTTTTGCTACACTTGCCCACTTGGACGGTGCTGTTTGGTTTTGATTCTCAAGTATTTAGGTGGTAATGGCATCTGCCAAAAATCTGGCATCTTAAGGAAGAAAGCATGTATACAGTGTGACTGATACAGACTTAAACACAACAATCAGTAGAAGTCTTTGGCTTTCTTTAGAGATGTCAGTAACATGCTGGAGAAGGTTTTACTATTCTCATCCATCTTCATTTTAGCCCTTGCAGGCCTTTGTGAACATGGATTGTTGAGGAGCTGTGTTTTGCTGAATGCATTACTAAGACCATGATTGGACTTGCAAGCATTCAAGAGGCAAAAGGGGTTGAAAAGTGTGTGTTACCATTGCCTTTACCAAGGTAAAGCAGCTGAAGTTTTAAAGCACTCGGAAATATCCAGCACTATTAGGACTTTACTCTCACAGCACTGAATCTGGAATTGAAAGATGCAGCAAAAATTGTTAATAAAAACACCAGCTGCTTATCTTTAAATAAATTAACACTTATGCTCTGGGATACTTACCATCTTCTATAGCTGCTGGATCACCAAAAAGCATTCAGCATTTTTTCAGACAGGCTGAGAGGCCTTGCTCCTGTACCTGACCACACAAAGAAGCCATTAGAGTAGTATTGCCAGCCATTCTGACGTGCACAAGCCTTTTGCTGTTAGTAAGAGTTACAAGTATAGCTGGAGAGAAGAAAAGCTGTTTAATGGTTGTAAAATGCATTGAATCTTCCTTTAAAAGGAAAACAAAGTCCAGAGTTACCAATGACAACAATAAACAGTTAGAGAAGCTGCTACTCCCATTTGGCAGTGCCTTCCCTTTTGCAGAGCTGTATTAGCATGGCTGGAAGGTTTCCAGTGAGCACACAGGAGAAGGAAGTTCGTAGTCATGAGAGGTGTCATACCTTCTGCAGCGCCTGTTATCACACTGCTTGACACAGCCTCTGCTGCTTGTCAGGGATCCCCTTCCACAAAACCCAATTGTGAATCTCCCTCACACACTTCTGAAGCCAGGCTTGGCCCTCTTCAGTGCAGTGAGTTTCCTTTTCTACACTGCAAAACATGGGAAGTCTCCTTCTATGGCACTGGAGGCTGCTGTGGGATCTCCGGTTAACATAATGAGCTTAGTTTGCTCCTGCTTTCTGGGTGTATCCGGTTACTTTGCCAATACTTTTTGCATGACAAAGAGAGCATGGAATTATGTTGACACACGTGTTGGGAATGATGGAAGTGATTGTTTCCCAACCTAATGGTTGCCTAAGTAGCTGCTTGGCTTGACTCCATAAAGCTCATGATGCTTTTTAAAGGCACCACCTTCCCTTCACCATGCATCATTTTAAAGGTCAGATCTGAAAGTGAGACAAGAAATGCAAGGAACTTACAATTAGTTCTATAGGGGTGAGAGTGCACTTCAAGAAATAATCATAATGTCAATTTGCATTTTGTATCTCCTCTTTGCTTGTAAATAAAATACATTGTGGATCTTTCCAGGCCTGAATTGGGATAATTTTTCATCTCGAGATTGTATTCTGATTTATTTCTGCTCATGAAACCTCATTGTCATCCTGCCAGTGGTGCTAAAACTGCTTCACAGTGCAGGTTTGTGCTGACAGATATCTGCTTCCTTGCATTTGTACTTCCACAAAGTGAGGGCAGAAACATTGAGGAGCATGGTCTATGGAGAGAGACATCAGGATGTGTTGGCTGTGGGACAAAGCCTGGCAGTGAGAGGAATGTACCCTTCTAAGCATGGTTCGATGAAGTATAAAGCTGTTTTTTCCTAAGTGCTCTTGTGCTGTATCCTGAGGCTGCACAGTTCCTGTGGGAAAGAGGCATGCCATGTGCTTTAGATAGGAAGTTACTTAGAATTGCAGTAAACCAAAAGACAAAATTTAGTATTAACTGGGAAGTTGTTGATTAAAAATTTTGTAAAAAAGACAGCATTTCCTTATAGAAGGATTTTGATTTCAGGGGAGTGAAGGAAGAGAGGTCGATTTTGGGATGTGTCAACTCTTGGGCCCCTTTATAGTAAGGGGTCAATTCTTTTTCTTTCTTATCTCTCATCTGCTCTACCATGTGTTGATGTTTCCTCCTCACTTAGAATTTTCTTTTGGTTCTGCTGAGATTGTTTCTCCAAGGCACTAATCTTTTACATGGGAATTAGGAGGTGGAGAGGAGGAAAAAAACTGAAACAGAACAAGCTCATTTCCTGCTCCACAGAACCAAATGTCCCAACTTTTCAGAAGTTTTTCCTCCTCCTCTCTTTGTTTCTGACATGTGTTCCAGAAATGTCATTTGGAACCTGTGAAGCTTTTCATCAAATGAGTTTTAGTTGCATGAGAATTTTGTGGTGGTTAATACTTTAGCGAAAAACATTTTTGGCTGAACTTCAATATCCATAAGGAAGTTATGGCCCAGGTATTTTGGGGATCATTTGTGATTTTGTCTACCTCTTTCACTTGCCAAAATTGAAGAACCTTGTTAAAGAATTACTGAAAATCAGCATCTTGAGGTGGGGTATCCAAAAGCACCTGTTAATATTAGAAACTTTGGCATGTGGCATTCAAATTCTTGCAGCAGTCAAAAAGCAGAGTTTTAAAATGGATACTCTTCCCTAAATCTTCAGCATCTCTTTTAAACAAAATCTCTGTTGCATATCTGTCTTTAAATGATTGTCTTATATGTATTGTAAACTCTTGTTACTAGACATTTTATAGAACACTTCTTTTAAATCATGTGCACTTGGAGAGCATGCTGGTTAATTTATGCATGGATCTGAAATAAGGCTAGCTCCTAATCTGCAGCTTTCACGGTGAGGCCATAGAGAAGTCAGTTTTATACTGGAGTTGATAATTAATAGAGTAGGTGGAAGGGTCATTTTAAAAACATAAGCCTTTAAGCAAAACTTTTAAAATTCGCAGTACTGATTGGGATTTCTTAGCAAGAAATGCTATTCTGGGGTGTGTGTTAAAAGCAGGCTATTTGGCTGGCATTTCATAAATCACAGTACAGTGCCTACCCCCTGCTCACTGTGATTTTACCTGGATTCTTAGTTCTCAATTTAACTGAGTATTAAATTGTTTTTTCAACCTTTTTGAGATACAAAGACTTCCAATCTTTTTGCACTTGGATGAAAACAAGCCTCTGACATTTTTCTAAAATCTGAAGGAGAATGAGATAGAAATTTGGTTAATTGGCATGCAAATACTCTGGGTCAAGTTATTTTCTGAAGCATCAGAAGAGAACATTTACATGTGCATTTCTTTCGTCTCAATTGTCCTTGTTTGTTTGGGGCATCCTTTTTCCTCTTCCCCTTTCCCTTCCTCTTCCTGTTTCCCTTTCCTTTTCATTTTCATTTTCCTTTCCTCTTTCTTCTTTTCCTTTCCTTTTCCCTTCTCTCTGGATCTAAGGTGTCCTTCTGGACTTTCATCTGGTGAGTGTAATAGAAAATGTTAGAATTTCATAAAATATTTTGGTTTCAATTGTTTCTTTTAATGGAAGATCTCTTATTAAGAAGTTTTTAAGCAGGCCTGTGAAGTTTGTGTGCTGGTATGTCAGGCTAGTAGTGTTTCAAGTATTTAAAATACTTCAAGAGTTTGTACTGTATTTTAACAGACTCTGAAAGAATAAATATTCTATTCCATTGCAAAACTATTTGGAAGACATAAGTTATTTCACCTGAGAAAAACAAAAATATTGAGATCAAAATATGCTTTAGTTGACAATTTAATATTTTTTTTCCTAAGGACAAAAATAGAAGTGTGGATTAAGTGCAGAGAGAGAGTGTGTGAGTTCCCCAGTAGTCATAAACCTGACTTAGGAAGGATTGCCTGTGGAGTTCCACACTGTCCAGTACCACCTAGGTCTACAATTACAGATCTGCTGTAGGTCTGTACCCCACTGCAAAACACAAAAATGCTACAGAACACACAATTTCATTTGCTTCTGAAATTTGGCTTTACATTTCTAAATAAGATCCCCTATATTCATGGTGGCATAGTTTGGAAAGTGATGCCCAGTCACCAAGGCAAAACCTGATGTACTTCTCAATCCCACTGAGGCATAAGACTTAAAACCAAGCTTAAAGTAATTTATCAATATACTGAGGCAGTATCGGCTCTTAAATCATGATCTGAACCTTACTGAAATAAATTTCTTTCTGTTGATATTGTTGGGGTTTTAGAATAAGCATTTTTTCAAAGCTGCAATAGAGATAAAACATTTCCATAGTGTCCTGTGGCAGATAAACTGCAGCCACCTACCCAGTGCATTTCTGATAAGGATGGTTTTACTCCAGTTTTTCTTCACTTGGTCTAAGATGCAGCAACATCCCTGCTACAGAGATGAAGCTCCTAAGCTGCACAGCTGCTCCTGAAAACACACTTCCCTCCCTGCTACTCCCTGAAGTGATCTTTATGGCATAATCACTGGTAAATCAAAAGCATATATCAACAAACTGGTTAATAATAATAAAACTTGCCTATCAGTCCTCAGTATGTCACATAGCAACAAATGGAACAGGTTTTGTCTTTTGCACTTTGAATGCAAGCATTAAATGCATTATTTTCTACTTATTTAGGGCTCAGGAGTACCACACATGTCTGCTGATGAGAAACACGTTCTGTAAGTTTATAGAAGTGTGAGGAGAGGTGGCAGAGTTTAGCTTGGTTTTTCTCTGTATAGTTGAATAAAATATGATAAACAAAATCAACAGGGAACAGTGAGTAATATAGTTTACAGCACAAATTGTCACTCAAGTAATCTTTCCTGATGAAAATACTTCACTGAGAAATATTAAGGATCCACAATATGTT